TCACCTGACCTAAATCCATTGGATTTCTACTTTTGCTGGCCATTAAAAGACCTAGTTTACTCGACTGAATTAAATACTCAAGATTTAATTCAAAGAATCCATCAGGCTGCAAATGAACTAAGAAGAAAAATGTTTTCCACTTTCCGGGCTACGCAATCATTAGTTCGTCGAGCGAGACTCTGTATCCAACAAAATGGGAATTTATTTGAACACTTATTGTAAAACTAGTCTTAAGTATATCCAACTGTATGTCTTCTTTTTTAAACAAGTTTCAATTTCGTTCGTAGAAAAAATTTATTTCTTTTGTTTTTGCCTAATTTTTAGCTATGTTGCAATAGAAATATGTATTTATGTAATATTTACCAATTATTAAATTAGTTTTTTCGTTGCCATGGCTTATTATTCAACAATTCATTTAAATTCGCAGTACATTTCCTATCATGTGATAATTTTTTTAGTTTGATTTTATTCAAAAATATTAAGGAAAAACCATCTTCAAGGGAGCCCCTTTAAACGACCGTAGCGCCCTTAGGGGACGTTTGTCGACCTATGTTTATATAAACTTTTCTTGCTATTTTAAGCTCAAGAAACCGCTGCACACCTTTTTTTCGGGACACGCTGTATATGAACTTTTTGTCTCAAGATTGCTCAAAGAATCGTCTGTTAAATGTATAGTGCATACTTAATTGGCACCCAGTATATCTGATATTCAGCTAACTATAATGTTCATTGTTTTTTTTTGTACTGATGAATATAGTATTTGGTGTCTTAGTTTGCAATCGGTTTGGGGGAAACTTCTAGGAAGCTTCATACATTACTGTAAAAGGCCTTAAGGTACATCACGTCTTTTGTTAAACATAGTCTCCATCAAAATATTGCTGAACACGATTGCTCAGGTTAGTTCAAATTGACATAAAAGTACCTCGATCAATGATATCAAAGCGCCAGATGCACAACGCAATGTATCGCACTGAAAAACTTACAATAGAGGTAGACTCAATATCTTTTTTCATAAGTCCACTTTTTGACAGCGGTAACAGACGTAATATCCCTAAACTAAACTACGACACTATAATCAGTCCAGCATGAGTCTTCCGAATAGCGGAAATGGCTTCTTGGTGTGGCGTTTATTGTTCCAATATCTATTATGCATCGATGCATTCCAAATACTATTACGCTACCAGTAGCAGGTTCGAAGCTCTAATAATACGCCCTCGTGGGGCTGCTAGATGGCAACGGCACGGTCCAGCGCGTATTAGTATTCCTACTCGTATATATGTATGTCTGTATTATGCTATCATTACTCTAGGTACATGAAGATGATTCACGGTTGGGACTTGTATTAAGTTCAGTGGAATTCAATTAGTTTCTAACTTTCAGGATTTGATGTGTTTCATTTTTGTTCTGTGAAAAAGCAGGCATCTTCAAAATCACATCACGTTTCACCAATCGGACAAACTTACGCTTTGTGCTCAAATTACTGCTGTATTTAGAGATAAATATTTTGGTTTTTGATAAATGATATGAAAAAAAGATTGTGTATTATAACGTGATTGTAGAATTGAATTTGCTTAGCGAAAAACTATACGCAACTGGCTATTGCAAAGCCATATTGATTCCAAAAAAGAACTGCCATGGTTACTTTTTTCTAATAACAATACACAGATTAATGTACTAGTTAGCAGGATATTTTTGATTCAGAAAACAGTGCATTTGGTCAAAAAATTCAACCGTCGCATCTACGACTGTCCATAAAACACGTTATCACATATTGGCGAGATTGTGCTACTTTAAAAATTTGAATTGAATTGGCTTCGAAGTAGTGGAGGATGGTATCTTTGAGTTGTTGAAATCTCTTGGCAAATCAGTAATATATAAATGAAAAAGTAGCGGCCCAATGACCGATTCTTGGGGTACATCAGAAGTAATTTTATGAAAATTTGATGTATTGGGAATATTATATAAAATACATTGAAAACCATGTCCTGAAAACACTATTCGCATATTTGATCCAAGCCATAGTACCTTATCTGGGAAAGCAAAAAACTGTGGTGGAATTGATCGAAAGCCAGCGCTTTGTCTACAGCTCAGAACAAATATTTGAGTAATAAAAGCTACTAAAACAAAAAAAGCTACATAGTACATTGAACTCACTATACTTGCCTAAGTAGACATACACATAATTGGATTTTAGCTAAAATGAAAAAGGAAAGAAGCCAATCCGAGAATATTAGCAGGTAAATGATGTCAAAAAAACATTTTTTCTAAAAAAGAGCACGCGGGTATAGATATGCGGCTCCAACTAACTACAGCGACCCGCTCGCAGACCAAAACTAGACTGATTTTTAGTTTCTAAATTCTTGTTTTCGTTCCTAGAGATACGTCCCGTTTCTTGTTATTGAGCTCTCATGAATGTCTAAGCAAGATAGCCTACATAGGATATCAAGTTAGCCTACTTGAAATAACTATGTATTATGAATTCTTTCGCAACGCATTCCATTTGTGACAATATTTTCCTACTTCTAATGTAGCACTTTGCGCACAAGCCTCGCTTGCCATTTGGAGCCGCTGAACTTCCTTTCACATGATCAATCTCAATGACAGGTCGGAACGTCTGCTAAAAATTCTAACCGAGTAAAAATTATTACGCCCGACATGTTAAATTCATCTGTAACATAGAAGTTGCCGAAACTTTGATATGCAAAGTAGCATTTTAGCGAACGTCCATGACCTGAATTTCGAAATTCGAGACGCCGTCTGTGCCACACGACGACAACCGGCGGCGTTAAGACTACCATCAGCGGCGCCACAGCCAAAAATTCCCAAAAATTCATTCGTATATACCGATACTGATAATTTCATCTACATGAGGAAATCAAAATTGGGGATATTTGAAGTTTATATTTACAGCAAAAAATATCATGGAACGGTTTCTTACGGTTCTTTTAAGGTGGACTGAACATTAAATATATATTGATAAAGTAAATTATTACAACGTTTTAGAATAATTTTATAACAGTGCCTAAGAAATATTAAATTTCATTTTTATCGCAAAACACGTCTCTTGTTCTCATGGTTCTGTGGTGGAGAATCGTATTCTACTCTCCATCTCTTAAAAGGTCATTGCCGGGATGTGGTTTATGCTTCTTTTCAACAATAGAGGGGGTGCGGTATCTTCAAAGCAAAGACGGCGACTGAACGAGATTTGCTTCGTTAGAGATTTGTCGTTGTGAGGTTAAAACTCATAGTTTTTTGTAATTTCCGTCGATCTTAAATAAATGAATTCGAGAGCTGCACGTGACTTGGTGCTATTTCCGGTGCTCCCCTGTAGCAGCTCAGCGGCCACAACCTGCGTAGTGAAACAATTTCACACCCAGTGCTGGAAAATTTGTCGGGTTGTGGAAACCTTAATAGAAATCGGCCCCAATTGGTGAAATTTGTTGTCGGGACCCTTTTCTCATCCTCTCGGGGATTTAGCCGTTGTTGCAGCTACACCTAAGCCATCGAGGTATAGAGGGAAACTGTCTGCATTAACACTCCGAGGCGATCTATAAGTAGGACGTCTACGTGGTGCAGTCCCCAATTTCCGTGAACCCTCATTGTTCGAGGTAACTATGTTTTTTTTACTTTGCTTGGCCTGTCCTAATGTCGTACGAATGGAAAACACAACCACTTCGTTCAAAAATTATACATAGAACTATCAGTAATTTGTGGCAATTTAGGCATTCTTATGTAACACTAGGATTATACTTTAACCATTTAATTAACTATTTTTTAGGTCAATATTGAATTCGTCAAAAGCTATTATCTCGTATATTTCGCTTATTATTTAGTAGTAAAAAGAGAGAAATGCTTTGATTGTTCTAAAGCGGAGGTCGCCAGCCGTTCCAGTGTGTTGAGCTACTTTGGTAATTTTGGCATAAACAGTGAGCTTCCTAGTTGTAAGCAATGTAACCTAACTAAAATAAAATTATACATAGCTGTATGCGACCTACATGTGTTTAGTTTACTAATGCTAATACATATTAACAAACTTAAATAATCTAATAACTATTATAGATACAATGCCATGTCACATACGATTTAGTAAATGTAACTAAAAATAAATAAAGCAACGCACTATTTTAAACAAAAACATGTCCCGATAAAAAATCGTGTTCAATGAGAAGCCTGACACTCAAACTCACTGACAATTTTTTCAATGTTTGGAGTATAATTTGATACGGCTATTAGAATACAATTATCCAAATGTTCATCTGTAAGTCGAATACGGTATTTGTTTTTACCACCGCTCATAATATTTTTAACGGCAGGCCAACTCCAACCCAACCATTGGACATTAATTATCCAATTAAGGGATGTCAAATACAGCTGTCAAAATTCAAGCGTCTATTATATCCCTCAATAATAATGAAAAGCTGTAAAAGGGTAGTATCCTACGTCCCCTACCCTGGTCCTGGTTTTCGACCTCATTCCTAAGACATAAGTCCTTTGAGTGTAAACAGAAGCAATATTTTTGTTTTTTATTGCCTACATATAATCCAAAATATGTCATCACATGTAACTTTATTGAAAAAAGGCTTCAAATTAAAGAAATTAAGAAAACTTTATAATTTTCAGCTGGTTGACACTTTCTCTTAACAGTCTCCAAAACAGTCTTGATGCCGAGATGACCCATATCCCTTATATTAACAAGAAACTAAGATTTTTATAAAAATGCCTCCATTTTTCACAAACATTGCAACAATAATATAATGCTACGCGCTAGTAGAATGTCACCTAATCTATGAATTTACAATTTGGGGCATTTTAAATAAGGCGCTCATGTATTTGGTGGAAAAAATACATAAGCTGTTCTGAAATTAATATACAATCGACCCATATTATACTCACCTGAGATTCATTGCTCAGAAACAGAGATACTTGAAATGATACATATACTAGAGGCAGACTTTACAAAAACTTAACTTACCCTAAGTAAAGAAGTCATGTTAGAAACATCATCTATCAGGCTCCACTACTATATAGTCAAATACCTTCAAAATTAATATGATACAAATAAATTTAAGAATGAAGTGAAAAGTGTGTTAAATAAAATTCCAAGTTATAAAATATAAACATTTATACACGTGTTTTAAGAGAAACAATTTAAATTCGAAATAAAATTAAAATTCATGATACACAGCGCCGATTATACTGTGCAACATACCATACTTGCTTTATATGTATATTGTTCGTCAACATTTGTTATTATTTAATCTATACATGTATTTTTATTCCACGTACAAGAGCACCTCTTTGTAGATTTAAATTTATTTATTACCGATATTTATAGATTAATGTGAATGAATTATTTATTTCCACATTTTCAATAGTTTGCCGTATGAAAGATATTGTTGACATCTTGTTACAATTTTCAATAACAGTTGCGGTTCCCTAATATTTAAACACAGCCTTTAATCTTCAGTCCGAGATCTATGCCCCATGGCTTATGTCTATGTTCCAAGTCTAAGAAATTACAGACGCCAGGAGAAAACATTTGAGGACGCTTATGGCCACTAGAAATATGGGTGTGGGTAGTGGGGGAAAGGGGTAAAATATGGCCGTTGCCTGACTGCTTATGTCCAATGCAGTGAATTGAGGCCGAAGAGCGGGAATTATTAATAATCGAGCTAAATCCATCAAATAGCCATAGCGCGCCCTAGAAGTGGTGGTAATTGCTCTATTCGAGGAACCGAAGGTGCTCTAATGTGTCGTGATTAAAGGTTAAACCTGCTATTACTAACACATAGGTCTGTGTCCAAATACTCTATCAGGAACGGAATCAAATATCAGAAGTACCGAAAGAAAGTTTGTTCTGTGGTTATGTCGTCAAGATGTCGAAAATCTATTTTCGTTTCCAAGATTTATTACAAAAATTCTGCATTAATTAAAAACCTACTTATAACATTGAAATCCTGTATCAGGATGATTTTAAAAACGGAGAAATACGTCAAAAACTGTTAAATCAACCACTAAAAGTCACAATATATAGCAGAAATATATATTTAATTACACCATGACATAAAAATAATAACAATATGTAATGAATAAATGAATATGATCCAATCCTCAGAAATTGTGTATTTTGAAATGTTGTCATTGGGTACGTGTTCAGATGATTTTGGAGCCAAATAGAGAAAAAACCTCTCCTTAAGGTCTTACGAGCTTCGGAGACAGTTTTTGCATGTATAATACCAATGTGATTGTATCACGCTCGCTGACAACTTTGTTAACCGCTAATAGGATGTGAGTTGCTTGGTATCAAGTAATTTTGTTTTATTGTACAAACCATTTGCTCCATTTAATTTTAACCTTCCGAACATAGTTCTCAAAACTGTTGTCTGTAAAACTTCCATATCGTTTAAATATGCTAGGCATTCTGTGCGCCATGCTGATATGCCATACATTAAGTGCAGCTCAATCAAGGCAAAGTATATAGTACGCATATAATTTTCTGTTAATATGCCGGTGAGAAATTTAATATCTCAAATGTTGGTCTAAAAAGATTCTTAATATTTGGTATTGTCCAGTATCTCAATTTTTAAATTTGTACTGTTTATTTTGCAGGAAAGATTTGGATATTTGGGTAGTTGTCTTGCGTATGATGTGGATGGTAGAAAATGCGTTAACAGTTAATTCTCAAGTGTGGAAAAAATTAATGATTCTACAAAAGTCATACTCGATTGCTCTCTTTACATCATACCAGTCTTGCCCTTTAAGTAGTATCGCCGTGTTCTCAGCAAAACTGACTACTTTAACTACACAGTTGATTTTGAATATATCATTCAAACAGATATTAGATAAAAGAGGGCCTAACTACGTACCCACATTTTATCATCTTACTGGAGAGCAATTTTTCGAATACTTTATCCGCAGTCGATATGAACGATATAAACCTGATCATTATCAATTCGTTAATGAAACTTTTAAAGCTTATTTACGTAATTAATAGGGTAACACCCAGGGAAGGGAACCATGTCCACTTTCTCTCAGTGATTCTGCTTTCTCTTTGTGGGGCTCCCAGCCTCCCTGGTGCTCGACTCAGAGTGTGTCGTGGTTGTCATCTCAGATCCACCCCTGAGGATCCTAAGACGTAGTTTAAATTCTCGCTTGGTACCTCGCCTCGTGCTTCGTCTCCTGTCTCGGTCCGCACCTTGCGTGATCGGTGGTGAATGAGCTTTCTGTTCACGGTCTCGCGGTGAGCTTAGTTGTCTTTGAGCTAGCAACAACGAAGGACGTCAAACTGTTAGCTGCAGCAAGTCTGCTTACTGAACCGAAACGTTTCTTCTTGCGACCAATCCATTTAGGCAGCTTGAAAGCACAAAGTCCGCGTGGCAAGACGTTTGAAACCTGAATGAAGCGAGAGCACGAATGTAAACTATCTTGTTTGCGATTGTCGTGACCAAAAAATCGCTACGGATGCGAGCTTTGCGAGTCACGGGGCGAGCCGCGAACGTCTATTAACACTTCCGTCTCGTGGCTCGCCTCGCGCCTCGTCTCGCGACTCCTACGCGAGTGTAAATGAGCTAGAAAATTTGTATGCTAGTGGTGAGTCCTGACCTAATGAGGACGAAACGAGGCCATTCCTGATTGATCGCAGGAACGAAAAGCAATAGAGCAAACTAAGTTAGCTAGCGGTCTCTCCCTATCTTTCCTGAAAAAGTGCAACTGCGACCGCTGCGCCGACGAATCGATAGTAATTGCAAATTAGCAACGTAATTACCATGCCGGCGAGTCCCTACGTCTGCATAATGCATGTGGCAAGGATGCACGGACGCATGCAACCCATCAAATAATTAATATATAGTTTAAATTTCGAACCATGCTCGCACCCAGGACATAGTGACCTTGCCGTATAATTCGGGACTAGTAGGATTTGTTTGTTGGGGAATGATTAGGTTCATGTCACATCGAATAGATATTCAATAGTAAAACACACAAATGTTTGCAATTTGGAGAAGAGTAAACATTTTCGAAACCAAAGCTTTAGTAATCCATGTGACATGTATGATATTATACAGACACGGGTGTCGGTTGGTCCACAAGCATCATTTTACAGAAAACTGACCAATGTTACTGCAAGAACAAAGTCAATGTTACGAAAGAATATGGCTCTTGAGGTATATAATAATAATAATAATAATATTTATTCACTCAATGTACAAAGATAACAAACAATATGAGTAAATAAATATAAAATCAAAACAGACCCAATAGAAGGCATCTCCTGTACATGGACCAATAATTTAAGTTGAAACTGTAGAATGCAAATGACAAAAAAGGACAAAAATTAGCTACAGTGATTATGTATTTAGTTGATGTTCGTATTTATGAGTTTATGAATTTCAGTCCTAGATATAGAATGTAGCCACTTTTTTAAATTTCTTTTGAAACAATTTCCGAAACGTAAATCTTTTAAGTCTTTAGGTATAATTTCATAAAATTTAGGCGCCAGATAGAGATATGATCGCTGCATTATAGATTTATGCGGTTGAGGAACTACGGTGCCACGAATTTTGTACCTGGTATAATGATTATGTTTAATTTTTTGGACGGTGTTTACAAATTTATGGTAGTGAGTGATACTGCGTAAGAAATAAAGCTGTCTTATATCATACATTCGAAGATCTGCGTATAATTTTTCAGTGGGATAAAGTTTCGGTTTTCTAAATATCATTTTTAGAATACTTTTTTGAAAAATATACGAGCCGAGTTTGTTTATTTTTTTAAGAATACATTTTTTTTCTTTTGTAACACATTGAAATCTATTGATTGGACATCATATTAACAAAATTATTATCAAGTAATATGATATTAAACTATGAAACTAAACTAATATTGATGGCAACGCAATATTTGGCCTTAAAGGAATACCATATATTTTGTAATTTTACTCGTAGATCAGAAATGTTTCATTCTGGATCATTTCTTAACTGCTGCTCCATTTTGTGCAATACAGCTTTGATAATATTTAAATCAGGACTACTGGAAGGCCTGTCAAGGACGGAAATATTATTATCTTGCAACCATTTTTTTGTGGTTTTGCTGTATGCCATGACGCCCCATGTTGTTGAAAAATAAAGTTTCTATCAGGTGATAAAATTGGAATTGATACTAACAAATTCGTTTCAAGGATATTTCGATATCTTTATGAAATGCTTCATTTTTGTTTCTTATAGCCCTGGATCCCACAAAGACATCAAATTTCGATTCATCGCCAAGAATGATTCTTACCAATTTTCGTAAGTCCACATTGCCCGTTCCTTAGTCCACGCGAATCGTCTTTTCTTTTGTTTTTTCGTAAACAGGTGCATTTCTTTTGCGTAAAGCAAAGATTTTATTGTATAAATTTACCTTATGTCCCTTCAATGCAACCTACGTACCTATAAAAATGTAAACCAGACTTATGGATCCACCGACAGCACGTTTTTTGTGAAACATTTCCTGCTGTTTCTTCATTCTATTTTGCTGTTATGTCCCTTACAGTACCTCGTCGACCAGTTTTGCAAATACTAATAAGAGGTCTTTGCATTATAGGACTGATTTTTCGTGGACTAACTTCAAAGTTGAGTTGAACCTGTCTCCATACCTCTTTTACAATATCTGGTACCGTAGACTTTGCGACATTTATTCGTTAAGCAATATCCCGAAAACTCTTTCCTTGATGAAACAACTTCAAGCTCTGATTGCACCGTTTGTTGCTTTACCACGAGACATTTCGGAGAAAATTGATGCACAGGGTTGATTCTTAGATCAAAACATCGAATTGTAAACACGTTTTTGTTTCCATGGCCTGCTATTATTTTCTTTTTAATATCGAGTCCGAACATTCATGTATCAGCAAAATGTTGCGTAGTTATCAATATTTGTTTAATTTTGACTTGAAAACAGTTTTATTAATATGATGTGCAAACAATATATTTTATTGTCTTCTGAAAGAAAAACAATTAATTTTCAACCTTGCAAAAATAAACAAACTTTTAGATAATATTAG